CAAAGAGAGTCAACCCCAAACAGCCTTCTACACTGACGTCATTGACCTCAACCCAGCCTTCCACTCCGAAGCCATCGACCCCAACTCTGTCTTCCACTCCGAAGTCATCGACGCCAACCCTGTCTTCAACTCTGAAGGCCTCAACCCCAAACCCGCCTTCCACTCCAAAGACCTTAACTCCAAACCTGCCTTCCACTCCTAAGTTGTCGACCCTAACCCAGCCATCCACTCTGAAGGCGTCGACCCATACCCAGCCTTCCACTTCAACGGCATCAACGAGCCTAGTCCCTTCCACTCCAAAGGCAGCGACCCAACCCCCACCTTTCACTCTGGAGGCGTTGACCCCACTCGCACCTTCTCCGGAGGCTCCACCCCTGCCCCCCTCTCCCAATGCATCGACGACGCCACCCCCAAATTCTACTCCGAATCAGCCAACGTCCACTCCTGAGATGCTGGAATGTCCTTTGAAAGGACAGGGTGTTCGAAAGTGGGCTACTGTGACAACAAAGGGGAAGAAGAAACAAGCCGTTAATCTCGGGCTGGGGCAAGAGGACCCACCTCCATCTCAGAAACGCAAAACAACCGATAATCAAACCATGGAGTCTGCCCCTCCTGTCAAGAAAAGCCGCCGTTTGTTGCATGCATCGTATGTTCATCCCAGATCTCTCCGGCACACATCTAACACGTGTCTTGACAGACCTGAGAAAGTTCAGATGACAGGAAGGTGGTAGGTAATCATGCTCACGAAATCCCGCTCCCCATCCATTTTTTCTCGAATCCTCGCCTCGCATAATATCCTACCTCCAAGAATTCCCCGGCATCAAAGAAGTTCCCACTTCAAATAAATCCTCGCCTCAAATGAATCGTAGCTTTGACTTGGCTTTGACTTTGATTCCGTTTCCGAAGAATCCCCACCTCCAATAAATTCCCTCCTAAATAGATTTCCGCCTTTGAAGAATCTTCACCTCAATCGTGAAATCCTCACTTTGCATTATTGACTACTTATGTAACCACTTACTTAGAATCCCCTGTAGAATGTTATATCAACTCCCAACACCTAGTACAAAGAATATTAGTTTACGAATATTAGTCTATAAGTACTTAAAATATTCTTCTACACGGCTCACCGTCTAACTACGAATATTCTCCCCCGCCTAATAAGCAGTTCTGAAGAATAATATGGCTGATATTCATGACCTTCACTATCATCCGACTGGTGGCTACCACTTTTATGATTAATCTATGACAACTGTCCAAGAGGCAATGTGTATACTGCCACAGGTTTTATGAAAGGCATCTCATTAGGATTGCCCATCTATTTCATTCAATTTATCACTGGAATCTTTCATAAGATATAGGCAAGAATAATGAGATATCATGAGGATATTTCATTAAGCTCTTTGGCCCTTTCATTGCCATTTCATAGACTTTTCATTAGGATATTTCATTAGGCTCCTTCGCTTTTTCATTGCCATTTCTTAGAATTTTCATTAGGATATTTCAGTAGGCTCCTTCGCTTTTTCATTACCATTTCTTAGAATTTTCATTAGGATATTTCATTAGGCTCCTTCGCTTTTTCATTGCCATTTCTTAGAATTTTCATTAGGATATTTCAATAGGCTCCTTCGCTTTTTCATTACCATTTCTTAGAATTTTCATTAGGATATTTCATTAGGCTCCTTCGCTTTTTCATTACTATTTCTCATAAGGATATTTCATTAGGTATTTGGCCCTTTCATTACCATTTCTTAAACTTTTCATTAGGATATTTCATTAGGCTCCTTCGCTTTTTCATTGCCATTTCTTAGAATTTTCATTAGGATATTTCAATAGGCTCCTTCGCTTTTTCATTACCATTTCTTAGAATTTTCATTAGGATATTTCATTAGGCTCCTTCGCTTTTTCATTACTATTTCTCATAAGGATATTTCATTAGGTATTTGGCCCTTTCATTACCATTTCTTAAACTTTTCATTAGGAT